TTTTAGTTAAACTTCGAATCGATGATTTAGTGAATTGAGAAAAAATGTTATACAGAAACAAAACAAGGTCGTTAAATTGTTATTCAACAAAAGGATTAGTATCTGCTGGAAACTTTAGTTTTGAAAAGTTATCAACCCATATAAACTTTTGTAAAATGTATTTATATAAATAGGATTTGATTTTTGGGTGGGCCAGGGTTTTCGAAAAATTTAGAAATTTTGGAACTGGAGTTTTGCAATTTGGAAATTTGAAATTGAATATTTCGCAATTTTAGGATTCTGGAAATGGAGTTTTGCAATTTGGGAAATTTGCAATTGGAATTTTGCAATTTCAAAACTCTGAAGTTTTGCTGATCTAGAATGCTGGATCTTGAAAATTTGAAATTTTGAAATTGCGAATTCTGAAATTTTGTAATGTTAAAATTTAACATATTTAGGCCCCCCTCCCGTCCCCTATCCAGTTATATGAATGTTAAAATCACAAAGCCTAAAGTACAGTAAAATTACAACCCAGATTTATACGTTCCCTCCTTTATTATACAACATTTTTGTCTAATGTTTGCTGCGCTAAAAAATAACTTGGCAGTCGGACTCGACGGTGAAGTATTACGCCATTACTTCTCTGCGTCTCGCTTATTACAGAAATGTAATGTAATACGGCATGAAATAAGCTAACTGGTGACGTACGTGAAACGACAGTTTGCATAAAGCAAAAATTTTTGACCTATAACATTTTTTTTTCCTATGCAAAATTAATATTTCAACACTTAACTTTGAGGAAAAAAATCCTGACAGTAAATTCATATTTTTAATTATATGTCGTACATAAATTTTTCATCGAAGACGGCGTAAATTAGCATCGCGTACGATACAGTGGTTGGTGCCGACGTACGGTACTTGGACATATTTTTACAACGCTCTGTGGGGTCAAGGATGATATGCTTTCTGAAGGAACCGGTTTCGAACCAAAGGATTGCGGTTAAATTTGTGAATCATCAGGAAATCGCCGTTCCATCCGTTAACGTAATCCAAAATTGCATGCAAGTCATCGAACAGCGATAAACAATTTCATTAAATTGTTATTGCAACAGTTTATATAATACATGCAAAAAATCAAATGAACGACATGAATTTGGATAAAATAACGTGAAGAACGAATAATTGGCAATTAACGCTTGATCAATAATTAACACTGAAGCATTTAAAGTTTTGATGGTCAGACATTTAATAAAATTATTGATTTTAACTAATAAAATTATTTATAGAAAATTATATTTGAGAGTTTTATTAATAATTTTCAAATTAGTTCCATCAATAATTGAATTATTAGAAAAAGAGAAGAGAAAATAAATCTTGATTATCATTAGTATATATTATATGTATTAACCCTCGGATGGCAGACCATGGAGAAAGCCTCATTTTCATTTTCGAAATTTCACACTCTTCCCTTAAAAACTATTCTTTCAGCATATGTTGTTAATTCAAAAATTGCAGAAAATATAATTTGCACCCCTTTAGTTCTAAATGTCTTAAATCAGAGTTATCTGATCACTGAATCATTCTGTGATTAATTCACTAATTATAATTGCGGTCTTGTTTCATCTCGATTGTCATATCATGCATATTTAACAATAACCATCATTTAATAGGCACTTGGTGCTAGCAGCTCGTATCTGCTTAAGAAGCGGAATTCTCTCTCGCGTTACCATAACGCGGTCAGTACGATATGTTTCCGTTATGATCATCGGTGGAACAGGAATTTCAAATTCAAGTCAGCATCGATGCACCAGTGGGACCGGTTGCGTTCAGATAGCCCTTTGACCATACTAACTGGTCGAGCCGTCCCGTTTCTCGCCAAATTACATAATGCTGTGATAAGCAAAGACATTTCCTCTATCCAATAAGCTGACAGAAATCGTCATTTCGCCGGAGGATACTTGCTATTATCTAGCTCGTGAACGGGTCACACTCGTGTCGTATCATCGAACTGTGTTGGAAACTCCAGTTTCGAAATGCGATTTTAACTTTAAATGGAATGCTCGAGTTTCTACCGATATCTTCCAGATTGCCAGCGCTTCTTTGATAGACGCCGTTGTTTTCTCTTTGATAACGATAATCGTGGTATTAAATAAGAGAAATGATAGAAATTTAAAATTTATACTAGTGTTTGTGTCTAATTATTTTAATACTTTGGTAAATGTACAATTTGTGGAATCGATGGCTCTTGCAATTAAAAATTAGGAATATTCAAGAGTTTCAATCGAATTACTAATTATTGAATTGTAATTAGAATCTATTAATAAATAATAGAAATTCAAAATTTACCTTAGACTTTGTATTGAATTATTTTAATACTTTGATAAATCTATAGTTTGTGGGATAATTAGAAATTATATTCTAGAGGTTCACTCAAAGTACACAATAAGATTATCAATTTTCTAATTAGAATTAGTATCTATTAATTATAATAAAAATTCTGAACTTACACAAAAGCTACTATTTTGATAAACTGGAATCTATGGCACTACTAACAAAATATATAAAAACAAGAACCATCTGTTTCGATTCAGAAGAAAATCAAACCTATCATTAAACAAATCGCCGAAATTATGCGAGCAGTATTCGAACCATCAATTGTTATTACCATGTGTATGCAGCCATCCTTTCCACGAACCCGTCGTTCTGTTCCCCGTTTCCAATCGCTCCACTTTTCCAGTACACGGTTCATTACACGCGACACGGTGCACACGGGGGCACCGTTATTAACATTCTCCGCGGTTCAATTTGTTCCGTTTCCATCTGCTGGAATAACCACGCGGAGACAACGGATGATGGATCACCCACGAGTCGATAAACCGTTCCACATTGTTGCTCTTCTTATTAACCACACCAGAATTTCGATGTTTTTCGCTTTAATTACAACCTGACTCTGTTTATCTCGCAAAACAAGCATCTTGTTTTGTCTTCGAGACACCATGGAATATCCAAGAAACCGTCATCGTGAACAGGTGAAAGGAGATTCAAGAAGAGAGAGACAGACAGGATGAGATAGAGATAGTTCAGGAAGACTAGCAAGGATCGTCCTCAAAGCAGGAATGCCCGAGGCGTTCTCTCGTTATTCGTCCACCGGTATCCTTTAGACGAGTCCTGTTTATTCGGCCATCTGGCCGCCATCGAGCAACCCGCCAAGTTTCCGGTGACATTGTTTCAGTTTACTTTTCAGCTCCGTTTCCCTTGTTTCCAGTTCTGTCCGACGAGCGATGCTTACCGATCCCGCGAACCGACGCGAATACACATCCGATATTCGCGACGTTTGTTCAAGCACTGACGAGTGCTTCGAGGGATTATAGAGTTTCGGGAAGTAGTGGGGGTCGAGAGATATTTGAGGGTCGTGTTTACCATGAAATATTTTCTTTTGGACTTTCGATGTTATTGAAATTCTAGAATATCCTACTGGGACAGATGTCTAGTAAATTATATTTATTTTCATCTTATTTGATTTTATACTAATATATACCACTATGTTACTAGTATACACTATCTAGTGATAGCTGGGGTGATTCTGAACGACATTTTCCTTTGTGAAAATGTGCTCGGATTGGCCAGTGTTTTTTCTTAATAATTCAAAAACGTAAAGGAAAATGTTGTTCAGAATTACCCCAGGTATCACCCCCTTAATCATTCATTCTGGGACACCCTGTATATTACCTACTATTGTACCATTATACTAGTCCTATATATTACTGTATTATTTTGATTGGCAATTATGATAATAAGCAACATAGTAAAGTACAGGATAATCTATGTATAAAGAATAAAATAAAAACAAATTCCAAACCGGAAAAAGTCCGAAATATTAGTAATTATTATTTTTATTATCATACTTTGAACTATTTGTTATATGAAAGTTTGATATATATACTTGAAAAGATATAAACTTTTACTATAAGAAAGTGAATGTTATGAAAACATGTAGGTAACACTAATATTATACCGAACCGACATTCCTTCATTAACATAGAATTCTTGTTTAACAAAGGAACGATAGAATGATAAATAGAAGGAAAGGTTATGCTAAGAATGTTCCATAGACAAGTTGCCTCACAGACGTCAAATTCCTTGTTCAAAGTGTGCAACCTACGACAAAGACGACCGCATTCCAACACTGACGGATGACTTTTGCTCATGCACAGGAAACTAATCCGTCCAACTGACGTAATCTGATTAGCTCATGCTAGTTAACACTTGCCAATATGGCGAGCTATCGATCAAGGTCCGACGAAGACGTGAGAGTATATTTCATCGAACGCATTCATAATTACGTACTCCACTATTTTTATAATCAATTAACAGTCCATCATCGTAAAAATCATTGTGATGATTCAATTTCAATTCTCGACAAATGTAAAACGTTTTAATGATAGGTGTATAGGAATTAAAGAGGATCGAAGATGGTATTAAAAGCTACGACTTATTCGTGTTCGACAACCATGCACACACTGTATAATAAAATTTTTTGTCACGTTCGGTTTGATCGATCTCCCACGTAAATTGATAGTTTTATTCTGATTCTTCACACCCTGTCAACCGAGTTGTGAAATGTTTTCCAACCGTAAAAGCAATGTTGTGTAGCTTCGAATATTGGAAAGTAGTAGGAATTGAATATTTGATAAAATATTGATACTAATTAATAAGAATTTGCGGGTACCCGAGCCTCGAGTCAGGACGGACTGGGTAGGATAAACAAACTTTTAAGATACGCGAATATTCGGGTACCCGCACACCCCTATTAATTAACATTCGCAAATTACGCTCTGGAAGTTAAATTATTTTCTCATAAATTTTAATTTTAATTTTGAAAAGCTTGAACTGCTTCCATCATCAATTATTTGCATAAAATTATAATAGTAAAAGAAAAAAGATAAGACAAGAGGTTAAATTTTCTATCGGATCGTTAAGAAGAAATTGCACGTAAACACGTTTGATATTTATGATTTCAGAATATTCTGGACAAATTCAATCCAGGGGCGAGGCAGCTGATCAATGCCGGCAAAGCGTATTTGAAAGCTCTTCACGGTGAGTGAATTAAATTGAATCTTTAAGAGGGAGGGTAAGCGATGCCTGGACAAAAAGACGAGCGAGTCCACGAGACAAATAGCGACAGACGAACCGATCGTGAAGGGGGATAGGTGAAAATGAAGAAAGAAAGAAAGAACAAACGAGGGCGGAGCAAGCTTTATGCCGTCTCTTGGGTCCTGTTTCAGGATCGAATTGCCAACTCGTCAGAATTGCACACCGGAGGGGTGTCAAACTTCTATTTCATTCTTTTTCGCTTCTTCTTCGCATCTCTGTCATAGTAAATACTAGGTGCTTTCTATTCTTTCGCGCGTTTATTCGACCTTTTTATACACGATCGATTGCGCTTTTTCTCATCGGTTTTCATCATGTTTCTCTCTTTTCATGGAATACGTAAACATCGTTTATTCCAACTGCTCTTCGTTGCTTATTCGACAGACTTCCCTGTTATTTGCAGCTTTTAAAGTATTTTTATCACCGATTGGATAAAGGCGTTGGTACTGTAGAGATTCTAATTAATTTCAATTTAATTTAATATAATTCCTGCCAGTTTTCAAATACACAAAAGCACGGGAAAATATTCGAATTCAATCCTTAGATGGCGGACCATGGAGAGAGCTATTCATATTTAAAATAGTAATCAAGAAACCGTAATGCTAATCACATCGAATTAATTTGTGCGCCTAATATTCTAATTATACTCTAATTCTACTATTAGAATATAATTTCTATTGTCTTAAGTGCAATTTCCATAACTAAAATAAATAATAATATTATAAGAAAAAATGAAATTCTGCCACGATTAAAGTAGTTTTCCCTTAATTCTCTTTAATTTTTTTTAATCTTCCTCCTACACTTTCTTCGTCCGATACAATGCAAAATATTAATCAAGCAAACGATACAGAACCGTTGTCACGTAACGAGGCACACAAAGGTTAGCCCCATCGCATTTTTTTTTTTTTCTTTCTCTTTCACATTCGACGTTCGCGGGAAAACATCCGAGTGTCTCTCTAAATCCCGCAGCCTGCTCCCTTTCTGAAGCCGCGGAACGCAGTCTATTATGGCTGATAACAAAACGTCATGGGGGTAGGGAAATCGTTATGCAGCAACGGCATGTAGCAAACCCTGGCGAATTCGAGCCAGCTGGAAAGCTCCGACTCGTAAGCGGAGCTTAAATCTGGCTTTGTCATGGTGAAAACGTGGAATCGAGCGTCGGGTCTAGGCGATCCTCGCACCACCTGGACGAAGGGATGACAGAGAGGGGGTGGCGCAGAGGGTGACCGAGGCCGAGAGAATCGAGCCCTCCGTGTATGGGTGGTGCAATGACAAAGGTAGATGAAGAAACGCAGACAGAGAAATGATAAAAGAAGAACTGTGAAGAGGAACAGGTATTGAATGGGACTGATGGTGGTTAAGAAAAGTGAGTGTATCAAGCAATAATTATTTAATTATTTTGGTGATCAGATATTAATTTGTTCTGTGAAGATATTAGGGTAAGTAGGGGAGGGCCATGCTGGGCCTGTCCCTCCTCCCTTACCATTCTGAAATGTTAAGATTTAAAAATTTTGGAATTTCAGAATATCGAACCACAATTTTAGAATTCCTAAAATTTCAAAATTTCTCTACGCTAAACAGTCCCAGTTACGCCAGTGTATAGAGAGAAAAAGGCATTTCTGATAAGGGTCATTGTCAGAGAAAAATGATTCCTAATGAGGGAAAATTAAAGGCAATTAAGAGCACGGAAAGCAGAGGGTTAGATTAATGGAAATAAGAGCAAGGAAGAGTGCATCTGCTGGATTGAAATAAAGAAAAAGATTGCTAGGAAGATTATGACCCGAAGAAATAACGAGATTAAGGGAAACAGGAAACGTTTATGAGTGAGTTCTTTATGGTGCCCTTGAGAACTGTAACTGGAAAGTTGGAAAATGAAAATAAATGGAAAATATCCACGATGAAAACGTCAAGGATTGAAATTCCGCGAGAAGAAAAAGGAAATCTAAGTACATAGTCAAGAGCGATGAATAAAGAAAAGAAAGAAGATACTGTGAATCGAAAGAACGAGTTCAAAGGTGGTGCTGATGAGACAAAAAAGGAGAGAATGGAGGAAAAGAGAAGCACTATTTAACACCAGAATATGGATTAGACAGAAAATGAAAGGACAAAGAATGTACAAAGGAAAGATAAAAAAGGGTGCGTAGAGGGATGATACAGGGAAAGGGTAGAATGCATGTTCTGGATTCAAGATCCAGCTGACATCAGCCAGAAATATCAACGTATTTATTCCTGTAAATTTATGGTGAATTTTGAATGGAAAATTGCAAAATACCCAATAATTGCAATAAATATATTTCCACGACTTATGATGATAATTTTCGACCTGACTTAAATTTCAAGTACTCGTTTTCAAGTTCTCCCACACTTTCAGCTGATATCTATGCAAAGGTAGGTATATTCGTAACATTAAAGTGGAAAGTTTCATATTTCTGGCTTCTAGAACTAATCCACGACACCTTCCATCCTTCTTAGCAAACTCGTAAATATCTTCCTTAAACGCTTCCTTTCCTCTCGTATTTACTCTGCAAACACGTCTAATAAATTCTCATTGCAGTCGTCATACTTTGCAAACATACGTTCCCCATGGAATTCTCCTTTTACCTCTAATTTTTTATCTACTATTTATAAAAGCAACCGATAATATTCCATCAGCTTCGAAAAACATTAATAGAAGCATTTTCAACGATTAAAACGGTTTCAGCATTCCCGATATTTTTCTTCCTCGTGCAAACATTTTTTAAATAATTTCAAAATACAAACATGAATTTTAATCACGAAAAGAGATCGTAAAATTTTTTTAATTTAAAACAATCTATGATATAACAAAAATTCCAGTGAATTAGTTATTAGCTCGTATCCTCGTTTCCCGAGCTATTAATCGTAATTCGTGAAATTCCCCTGAAGCGTGAAATTCATGGAGGATAAAATATCGTAGATATTCCTCAGATTATCTTTCCAAAAGGTTGGAACATTCGTTCCTCAGTAACTCGCGAAATATGGAATTAATCTCTTGAAACTATTCAAAGTTATAATACTCGTAAAAATGGCTTTAAAAAAGAGAAAGAAAAGAATAGGAACATTTTTAAGGAAGAGTTACATCTATGCCATAAAAAATTTTACAGATCATTAAAGCTATGAATGTTATTGTATTATACGTTATAAATTTTCACATAAAGAAGAATAAAAAGAAGTTATCATAATTGCAATTTTAAATATAACACAATGTCATCTAATACATATTCAGGGACAATAGACGTAGAATTTCGAAATATTCTTCTATTTAGCCTAAAATCTAAAAAAATCTATATAATTTATACGTAGATCTAAAATCTGTAAAAATTTAGGCTGTGACCTTTTAAAAAAACCTTCCACTATCAGTCAACTTTTCTCTAAACTTAACTAATGTACCTAATTATAAAAAATAATAATAAAGTTAAATTATCGTGGTTCCAATAATTTGATTAGCCCCCCTCTATGCCTCCCTCGAAAGCAAATAAAATTACTTTTAATGTATTCGATTTTTTATTATTATCAAAAACAAGCAAATTATTTAGATGGTACGTTTCACGTGCCCTTCTTTAAATAAAGTGAACGAAAATGCAATGGAAGGTCTGTGCATTTGGCATTCCAATGCCCTAAGAACAAGTACACAAAGAATACCGCGACACTTTTTCAGTATTCTTACTTATTCAAAGTGTTGTATATCCAAGCAACCATCTGCGCCGCATCTCCCTTTCACGGTTTCCCAACTTGGCTTCTTACACGAAACACATTCCGCGAGATTGCGATAAATTATGCAAAATGTGGAGCAACCACTTCGCAGTTTCCAACCTTGTTTCGCGAGCTCTTAATCGTGATTCCCGAAATTCCCAAGACGCGCGTAGCAAGGGTGCATACGTTACAGTCGTCTTAAGAGGACAAGTTCAGAACTTTGCTTATTTTTTCCTCTATCCTGGTGAATTTCGATTCGTTGAGTTTATTCTGGGAATTTTATTAGATGCTTCTTACCATCGGTGATATCTCAACGGGGAATAGTAATTAGAGAGCATGTTGTCGAAAAGGGTTTATCTAGGAGACTCGCAAGAAAGGTGCTAAGAAATTGTTTGCGCCACTGATGTGCAAGATGGGGTAAGAAATTTGGTAACAAGCCTGGTATCTTGTGCTCTAATTGAAGATCTTGATGCAAAAACCAAACAACTCCAGATTTTGAAAGTTGTAGAAAATTGATTTAAATTAAATTAAATATGAGTTGTTTGAGTGTCATTAATATTTTAGATTAATTAAAACATTAGGGTGACAAATGGTATGAAAATGATACTCTACATTTTTGAAAAATGTACCTAGTGTCTGGTGCCTAGATTTTAAATTTTGGTTCTTGTACTAATCAGTCGGCAATGTATAAAAATATAATTAAACTTCAGCCCTATTTTTGCACCAAGATCTTCTATTACTTAATACATCTTGTAATAAATCACAATACTGTGGAAATTTTTGAACAAAATGAGCTGAAAATCAAATTCTAATCTTCCATGTGGAATTCAGTACAATTTTTCCAATTAATAATAGTAGCCACTTCCATTATATCCTACTTATAACATTTTTCCTAAAGACAGCTCAGGTGCCAGGTAGAAATCAAAAAAGAGCAACATAACATAAGATGAGTTCTACCAGCGTATCAACAGAACGCGACGGAGAATATTCCCTGTGTAAGCGTCCAATTGCTCTCGAATCCAATTGCGCCCTTTGAACCCCGCGACCCGTCTTTGTCCTCGAGTTTTCGTCCTTACGGAATTAATTCGTTCCGTTCGTTCCTTTACCAGTCGGAAGGAACTTCCCGATAGAGGATCTACCCACACCATCGAAATCTCTACTCCGCGCCATTACGTCGCGTTTCTGCAGAATCCTACGTTCGAGCAGTCGACGACAATTTATAACGAGTCGTTGAGCTACTTTGAGGGTCCTTCGATGCTCCTCCCTCGAACCTCTTCCAACTTGGATCATCCTCTGATCTGCTAACTACGTCTATTCGTAACGATCCCACTTATCATGAATGTTTCTTTTTTCTCCACCTTCGAACACGATCGTCGGATACGTGTACCTACCCTTAATGAGCTAATTAAATTCTCCGAACGATCCGATATACGGTTCGAACACTTCCTTCTTTTTGAACATATTCCGTGATTACGGGATTGCATGGAACTTTGAAGATCGGTAGAAAGGCAGTTTTCACTGAAAACTGGTATAAGGTAGAAATCAAAGCAAAGTATGCTTTATAGCGATAGATTATTAGTTCTTATGGAGATGTAAAAAATAAGTTACGAGTGTATTAGAGTCAGATAATTAAAAAGAGAGATGATTTTTCTATGGACATGAATGCTTACAATGGAGATGGATGACATTCATATATATAATTCTGTCTTTTGTGGTCAAAATTTTTAAAAACTAATTATTTACACCTAATAAACATTCACGGTATCGATATTCATAATATTATTTACCTATTTACTTTTGTTTATAATAGAAAATACTGTGTTGAAAATAATATATTTTCGATCTCTGGGAATTAATAAATTAATTAATTTATTATTAGAAATATATCTGAGACTATATAAAAAGGATACATAAAACTGGTTAAATAAAAAAAGATAAGGAAGATTCTTTTTTTTTTTAGTGGAAAGAGTAAGGTTATTTCGTATGCACGAAAAGAGCACCATGAATTCTCAGAAAAACGTGTTAAACCTTATACCCTTCTTCTCACTTACATCGCCATTATCGTAACGAGAAGGAACGGCGGTAAAAGAGTCTGAAACACCGTCGCACAATACCGGTATGTACGTCGAATGGCAATTAACGTTTTAACGATGCACTCCCACGACCCTTACCGCTTTTGCATCGAAAAGCTTGGAAGACTTTTTTCGCGAACGGTGAAACACCCTCTCCGAGACCGAAATGCTCAGCAGGGTAGCTTTTAGCGTTGAATATGCAACATTTCCACGAACACGAAGGAAAATTGCTTACATACTCGCGACACGATACTACCCCTCTTGTAAGGGAACAAGGAGTAAAATGGGGAGGCAAAATAAAATGAGATTAGTGTTTAGAAAACTTATTGACACTATATTTAGTATTATTTGTAAATATATCATTGACATTTACACCCCATAGAGTTCCTTCAGTAAACACCTGAAATACTTTTCAAAAAACTTGAAAAGTTTCAAAGATGTATTATTATTTTCAATCCTCGTTTTCAAAGCCTACGAAGGGAAGGGGGGTTAAACGTTCCGTTTGTTGTTGGACGTTCACGAACGAATCTGTAATTCGATATTCGTCGATATTTTCCCGAGTCGAGTGGAAATCGATCAGGTGGGCGGGGGTGAGAAGTGGACGACGCTAGTCAAAGCGGATGGTTCGAGTGGGTTCGATTGAAATTGCAGGAACAGGTGAAAGTAGGAAGGGTGTCCAAAAGGCAGTCGAAACGACAGGAAAATCGAGGGGAACGCTTTTACCTGCGTGGATCCCATAATTAAAATCAGTTGGATCGCCTGCTGTCATTGTCCTACGACGCTCGCTCGTCCACTTTCGCCCCTGTCCGCGACGCTCGGCGTCCCGTGACCGCGTACCGCACGCGTTTTGCGCAATTTAACGAGAAAACTTTTCAAATTACATTCTACGGTTACCCTGTCTCCCGCTCACCGACTACTGCTTTCCTCCATCCGACTTTTTTCTTCGTCCTCTCTTTAGAGCTTCCGGACACCGAGATTTACTCAACAACTTGTACGGTTATGATAAATCTCATTTGTTCTTTGGCGGTGGATTGTAATAACGCGGATCTCGCGAAACAGGAAGACGGGTAAGTATTTTTTTCGAGACTTTCCCTCGAAGAAAATCCTTTCATCGAGGGAAGAAAAAGGAAATGTGATCCTGTTTGCTGATAACCACTTATCGAGGTATCCTGTTTCATCATCAGTGGTTGAATG